GATCAGGAGGGGAGCCAAACATTGAAGAGCAAATACTACAGGATAAATTTCCCTTTGTTTCTCCCCTTTTATCTCCTTTCTTTAATTCGAGAGCAGCCCCACTGGGGAAGACCTGAACAGTTACATATGCCCCCAACCAAATACCAGATTAGCCACTGAGAGGTGCCCGTCTGGGGCAGACATAAAGCAGCATAGCAACGCTTTTGAAAAATGAACTGTTATTGGATCCACTGACCACATAAGGCAAGACAGAATTTTCATATGAAGCTAATCAGTTGATCACCTGCTGAAACAAACAAACAAAAACTTCAACCTTCTTCAGAGGATTTTAACAGGCTCAGATTATCACACCCTGATATTTAAAATGCCCAGGAAACAGTCCAAAATCACTCAAAATCACATTAATCTAAAGAAAGCTGAAGTGGTTGTATTAGCATTAGATAAAATATATTTGATGACAAGAAAATTATCAGGAAGAAAAAGGAATATTACACAATGATAAAAGGGTCAGTTTACCAAAACACAACAATCGTAAATGTGTATGCACCTAATAATAAAGCATCAAAATACATGGGGCAAAAAACTGATGGTTCTAAAAGAGAAACAGATAAGCCCACAATTATATTTGGAGATTTCAACATTCGTCCCACAATAATAGGTAGAACAATGTGGTAGGAAATCATTAAGTGTATAGATGACCTGAACATCACTATAGCTCAACTTGACCTAATTGACATTTCTAAACACTCTTACAACAGCAGAATACATATTCTCATCAAGTAGACACAGACTATTCACCATGATAGGTCATATTATGGACCATAAATTAAACCCTAACTAATTTGAAAGTACTGAAATCATAACACCATGTTTCAGACTATAAAAAAATGGTACTAGAAATCCACATCTTAAATATATCTGAAAAACTCAAAATATTTGGGAATTAAACAAACTACTTCTAAATAATTTATGAGTCAAAGCAGAAATATTGAGGAAACTAAGATGTATTTTGAACTAAATAAAATAAAATACATTTCAAAATTGTGAGACTCATCTGAAGCAGGGCTCAGAGGAAAATTCATAACATTAAATGGTTATAGTCAACAAGAAGGTCTCAAATCAATAAGGTAAGCCTTCCTCTTTAAGAAACTAGAAAAAAAAAAACAGTAAGATAAACCCAAAGGAAGAGGAAGAAACAAATCAGTAAAGAGCAGAAATTAATGAAATGGCAAACGTAAAATAATAGAGACAATCAATAAAGCCAAAAGACAGTTCTTTGAAAAGATCCACAAAACTGATAAAACTCTAGACTGACTGATTCAAAGAGAGACAACACTTATTACCATTATCAGAAATGAAAAGGAGTAAATAAATTCAGACTCAACAAACATTACAACTTTCTGCTATGAATTTAACAAATTCGGTGAAATTAATCAATTTTTTGCAAACACAAGATAAACATTTCACTCAAGAAGACAAGATAGCTTGAATCATCCCATAGTGTTAAGAAAATTGAATTCTGAGTAAAATACCTTTCAACAAAGAAAACTCCAGGCAAAGATGAGTTTCACTGGTGAATTCTACCAACATTTAAGAAATAAATAGTTTTTTTCACACATTCTCTTCCAGAAAATACAAGAGGAGGGACTATTTCTCAACTTAGTTTATGGGCCTGAATTACCATGTTACCAAAACCAAGCAAAAACATTATAAGAAATAAAAACAGTTTACTATATTTTATGAGGATAGTTATAAACATCTTCAACAAGATAACAGCAAATTGCACCCAGCACTATATAAAAAGGAAAATACATCACAGTAAAGTGTGGTTTATCCAGATAATATAGGCTAGTTAACTGAAGATCAATCAATATAATTAAACATATTAACAAATCAAAATGCAGAAAATGCATTTAACAAAATTTGATATCCATTTATGATGAAACTCTCAGCAATTAGAAATAAAAGGGAAGTCTTTAACCTGATAAAAGGCATCTCCAGAAAATCCATAGGCAATATCATATGTAATGGTAAAAGAACAGGAATGAGTCACAGATATCCATCTTATTGAACTAGCCAAGGCAATAAGGCAGGATAAAGAAATAAAAGGCATACAAATTTTGAAAGAAGAAATAAACTGTTTCTTTTTGCAGAAGATCTATGTAGACACAGGGAATCACCAAGAAAGTTTCTAAAGGCTCCTAAAACTCATAATGAGTTAAGCAAGATTGCTGAATACAAGGTCATTATACCATAAATGTTTCATACCCCAGCAAAAAAAAAATTGGATTTCAATGTTTTTAAAGAATCATTAATAGCATCCCCCATATAAATCTAATGAAATATGTGTAGGATCTGAACACTGAATTCTACAAAATATTGAGACAATAAGTGAAAAAGGATACAATAAATGAACAGCATACTGTGTTTATGAACTGGAAGATGTGCTATTGTTAAGGTGTAAATTCTCTTTGAACTGAACTGTAAATGAAATGCAGTCCTAATTAAAATCTCAGAAGGATTTTGTAGATATTGACAGGCTGATTCTAAAATTTACATGGAAAGGAAAAGTAATGAGAATAGTACGAACAATTTTTTAAAAATGGACAATGCTGAAGAATAATACATGTTTTTATAACTTACTGTAAAGCCACAGTAATCAAAATTGTATGATATTGGTAAATGAATATGCATACTGATAAACTGAACAAAGTAGAGAGTTCAACAACGACCTACTAAATGTGTTAAATTGATTTTGACTAAGGTACAAAAAGTGGTTCAATGGAGAAGAATAGCCTTTATAACAGTGTTGGAAAAAACTCCTAGTTATTTACCCACATGAAATGAGAACCTATGTTCATATAAAAACCTGTACATATATGTTTATAGCAATTTTATTCAGTTACCAAGAACTGTAAACTACCCAAATGATACACAAATTGTGGTATACTCATACAATGGAATATTATTCCATAATAAAATTAACAAACTACTGATATGTACAACACGGATGAGTCTTAATGCATTGTGTAGAGTGAAAGAAGCCAAGCTTAAATGGGTACATACTGGATGATTCCATTTATAAGACAATATGGAATAGGCAAAATTATAGAGAACAGAACAGAGCAGTGTTTGCACAGTTTGGGGGAGGGAGGAGGAGGAATTGGCTATAAAGGGGCAGTGTGAAAACAATATTTTAACACAGTGGGACTGGGTTATATCTTAATTGTGGTGGTGTTTACACAACTCTATATATCTGTCAAAACCTGTAGAACTGTGAAGCAAAAAATTGTGTTTAAATTTCTCTATTGTTGTTGTCACCTGCTTTGTCATTTTCCTTGCTGTTGTATAATATCCTGTTTAATGTTTTTGCCACCAATTTAATATATTTAGGACAAGCAATCTTTAACTACAACTAAAAATATTTTTTCTCTGTTACCATCTGCAAGAATCTTCTTAAAAATATCTTAGAAACAGAGACACACATGGGCATTTGCTCAATTTCTAAAAAAGCTTCCATATTATTTTTAGCTATATATAAATCTGTAATCTGACATATCCCCTAATGCCATTCACCTGGGCTTGAGTCACGGGGATGCGAACATAAGAAATCTGACAACATCCACCCACCTACCTGTATTTCTTCCTTGAGTTCTGCAAGAGTGAACTCAAATGTCACATCTTTCATGACACTTCCACTGATAATCATGGGCAGAGTTTGGTATTTTTTCTTTATGCACTTCTTGCACATTATAAACTTCTGTTATAGTGTTTTTCACACTGTTCTATAAACATTTGTTTACACTATGTCTCCCACAGTAGACTGGAACCATGAAAATTTAGAATCATGTCTTGTACTTCTTTGTATTACTTTTGCTTCTTATATTATTATAGCCACAAATGTGTTTGCTGAATATATAAATAAAGGTCTCTGGTGCCCTTTAAACCTGACCACTTACCCCTTGCAAGATAAGCAATCCTGTGGCTAGGTGGTGAAAATCTGCTAAGGGGATTATCAATTAATTAACATACCCCATATTAGATAGATATCTATCATGTGTTTGATAGAAAATGTACTCAAAAAGATACGATTTTTGCCCTGAACATCTAAGAATCCAATTACTTGAGTTTTTTCTAATTATTTTAATCACTAGTTCCCCAAAACATTACAGATATTTTTGAACTGATTAAAAAAGAAAAGACCTAGAACTTTCAATATGTCGTAAAGGAATCCTTTGGAATTGAAATATTTTATAACAGATTGATTATCTCAGTGTGCATGTGTGTACACAGTGGGTGTGTGTGTGTGGGTGTGTGTGTAGCTAGATGAAGAGTGATTCATTTGGCTTGGACAAGGGTATGATGTGGAAATAACTCAGATGTCTTTCTCTAGCCTCAACTTGATACAGACAGATGAAAACTTCATGTCACTATTGGCTTGGGGAACTTAGATGTTAAATCTTCTCCTTGCTAATTTTGAATTGCAAGAGGCATATTTTCAAAATATGGTCACTGATCAGCAAAAAAATTATGAAAAGAAAGGGATTCTACAAAGAACCTCATAAAATTAGTAATGGTTATCCAATGATTTATCTTCCCTAATTATTTTACAGATATTTCTAGCTTTAGGGAAATCTGATATACATAAATCTAATTTTTTTCAAAGAGATTAGGTTAGAAAGTGATTTTTGTATTATTTGTCTCATAAGTGGATTTACTAGAGGACATATTTAAGTAAAGGAACTCTTCCATGCATTCCAGCATTTGCCCACAAATGGCTAAGGAGAAGGAAGTGAAGCTGGACAATCAGGGAAATCAAAGCTTAAATATCAGGGGATGTGTCCAGTGAACGGCAGCACCTAGTAATATCAAAAATTTGATTTATGCACATATTTATAACAGTTTACTTAATGAGATTGTCGTGGTTGGTAAGATACCTATGATTTTTATTTTCATTGCTTATGATCAGTTCTTCAGATTAACTGTCAAAAAATGTGTACCTTGAAGTGATGTTACGGATTGTGGGAGTTGGTATATCACTTGGAGTATCTTCCACAGTGGTGATTTGGGTTCCATTGCTTTTCACACAGGCATATTTTGTGCAGACTGCAACCTGCAAACATTAGTTTACAAAAGAATAAATACTTTCAAAATACAGGCTGCCAATGGACTGAATCCCACCCACCTTCATTTCACACAATTCCCCTATAGTTCTCTCTAGCCTCTTGCGGTTTAGTAAATACTAACTTTTTTATGTTGACTCCAGTGGGACAAGCTGAAAATAGAGTGCTGAAATGGCTCGTTATATTACTAACATAAAACACCTGGGTTGCACTTGTGCATAAATCAAAACATTTAAGTTCTTAATGTGTTTTGAATTTAGTAAAGTTTGTTTCACATAGATTCAACTGTAATATTTAAGGATGAAAATGAAATCTGAAAGCTGCTACAGAAATAATGTAATTTCATTTAAAGTAATGCATCTGTACATGAGATAGAAGCATTACATTGAGTGACTTTATGACATCCTATAGGTGGCTGACAGAAGAAATTGTCAATATTTTGAGCTCACCATTGTAACTACATAATGATAACTTTAATGATTAAGGGAAAGAATGAACACAATATATATAGTTTAAATTCCGTTTTGTTCAAGGGATATTTCATTAAAATAATTTTTTCAGGGCAATAAAAGTTAATATTCTAAAGAGTAGGTAAGATTTTTGTTAAGTCCTCCTGGAAATAAGTTGGAAATAAGAAGCGATATTATACTTTTTTGTGTGTGTTCTTTAATTATGTGATTAAAAGGCAAAAATAGAACACCATAAAAAATGAAATAAGCTCAGGACAACTGATCTAGTGATGAAAATGGTGATGTTTAGTTTCTGGTTCCAACTATTCAGAAAGAAACAGAAGTATTAATCTATTTGGAACTCAGTTAGGGAACAGAAGATTCTTACGTGACAGTTTGCAGGCATCATACGTTATCACTGCATACTGCTCTCTAGATCTGTAACCAGGTAGGGTATAGTGATGATATCTTCTGGAAGTCTTGACACTTCACAACAAATAGCCTAAATGCTAATGTCTAATGGAAGAAAAATGAGGCCTAGAGAAGCCTTCCAATATGGCTGAGCTATTTTATATCCATTTGTTCCAGCTGCAAGTGTATTTTTACCTTAATCACAGCAGAAAATCATCATTCACCCTTTAATTCTGCCACCTAATCTGAATAAAAACTGAGGAGGGTGGGACAACTAAAGATTAGATATCAGGTTCATCAAGCATCAGTAACACAGGGGGAGCCTCAGTTAGAGGGAGGAGAGACAAATGGCTGTACAAGAGATTGCTGGTGAACATCCACAGAGCGATATCCTCCTGCTCTCAATCAAAGGATAAGCCAAAGAGGACCCGCACTGTTTCCAATGCTAATTTACTTCTAGCATCTTATACATAAGGGGAGGAGGGGTGCTAAGTACTGATGAGTCTTAAACACTAGTATGGAGCTTTTAAGCAAAGCAGTTCTCTGGATTTGAATGGCATTTGAGATACATGTGATGTTCATTATATTTAGTAGCTACATCATTTTCTTCATGGGGTAGTTTGCACCTAAATGGGAACTGAGGCATATTTTTACAACGCTGTTTAAGTTGTGTGATTTATTTATGCCATACAGTATTTGGAACTAACATCTAGTAGATATTTAAACACTGTCAAGGGTCTTTACTCTGAGTATGACCAGTTAAACCCCAAACAACTCGCAGGCAGATGCACTTAAAATATGCTTGTTGTAATAGAATTAATAACAATAAAACTTCATGACTATTGGGGAACAGTTGACTATACGATGCATACTGAGATGACTCAAAACCAACTCAACTAAATCTTTTTATGTGCCAAATATTATGATGGGTACTTGCACAAATAATTTTATTGAATCTTACAACTTCATTTTCAGAAGCTTGCAAATGGTGGTGGGGGTGGGGGAAGGGGGGGTCAGAGATATCCAGGAATATGATCAAGCTGAGAAAATATGAAAGATCTGATTCAGGCTTTACTGTACCCCATTGTCTTATCATCTAAATCACAAGCATCGCTTTAAGTTCTAAACTACTTAGGTGTATTCCAGTGATTGTCCAGAAAGCTATTGCCTTACTTTAGAGAAATGTGTCAATATTTTAAATTCTCTCACTAATATTTGGGGTATCTTTCTGGTGCTACAGCTTTATTGTATAATATGGGAGTGAAACACAAATATGAAGGTTTACATATTTATATTACAAAGAAATAAAACTGAATCAAAATTGAAATTATTTCCTATAAAAAGGGATAGATAAAATGATTCATTCAAAAAAGTAGACACTCTGATGCATCTCCATGTCTACTTCAAAATCAATAGCTCTTTTATTTCCTATTTTTCAGAAGGGATTTATATAGAGAATAGTTTTAAAGTATTTGGTGTATCAACTAAGCACGTATTTTAAAAGGAGCCAAATCATCTTTGACATCATAAATAAAGATCATTGAAATCTGATGTTCAAATTCCAGTAATGCAACAACTATTTCAAGTGCAGTATTCCAGGGCTGTGAAGAGCTTTACAAAAATATAATTATAGTTATCAAGAATAAGAACATCTTAGTCACCACCACCAAAATTTAAGTATTAGATTCTAATTTGGATTTCTGTCTCCTCATCTATTTCCATGTCCTAACTCTGATAAAAATGCACTCTCCTCAGGCCATTACTGACTCAAACCAATGGGTATGAGTGAAGCCTGCCGTGGTAGAACATGCCTGGAACAGCCGCATGACAAGGCCTGCTTCGTGGTGAGAAAGCTGGTGCTGGATATATGTGCACAGCATCCAGGCATCTCCCCTCCAGGATGTATTCTGAGTCCTGATAAAGCAAGTGAATACACTGCCTTTTGAGGACTCAGCTGGCTTTCTCCATCAGGGACCTACAGAGGAAAATTCAGCAAATCTTTCATCACCTTCTTGTAGTAACCTTGTTCATAAAGCTAATTTTCTAATTATTTTGAATGTGAGTTTTATTTTACAATGTGATCTGTGATCTACACATACACATTTATTCACTCTGAGTCATGAACATACATATCAGTCCACATGGTTCATGCTAAGATAACTTGGGCGGGTTAATGGAAATCATGGAGCATAATAAAAAAAAATCAATGTACCTTTCTACTTTTACGAAATATCTTCTTATGTCATTTTCTTGGGAAGCCAGGCCTAGGAGGAGGAGGGGCTTAAGCTCTGGTTGTAGATGATTATGTATGTTTCACTTTCAAACGTGGAGGAAAATGGAGGTTGGGAAAATGAAAGAGGTGGCACTTAACAAACAGAGCCAGTGACAGGTCTTCTGTGGCCAAATAAAATTTCCATGTGTAATATCTTCTGATAATTACTTACAAAGTTCTTATAAATTCTAGAAGCAGCATAGTTCGTTTAAAAATTTACTAAGTTGCAACCCTTCTCTATAAACTTAGAGTTGCTGAAACACACTTTTTATCATAATTTTTGCATTTAGCCTTATCTTTTATATCCCAGCATTCTAACAAGATTTCCAGTTCCTTGAGGATCAGTTTCTTGTTTTATATGCCTTAGTATTCTATTTATTTATTTATTTATTTATTTATTATTTAATTTATTTTTTATTTTATTTTATTTTATTTTATTTTTTACTTTTAAGATAGTAGATCTCAAAGAGATATCTACAAGTTTGGTCAATACACTCTCTGAAATTGCATGTAACCATTTGTCATTCAAATATGTACATGTTTTTATGGGGTAGTGTGCCCAGACTTCATCAGATTCTCAGAGTCCCAAGGGCAAAGAAGGTAAATACTACGCTTTCACAAAGGTGAGGGTCATTGAACGTTTGTTGTACGATGAGCAGATATATTTCTTTCATCCTCAAGAAAAATCTTTTAATATTTTTTGTCTGCCATATATTCACTTATTATCGTTGTTTCGTCTGAATCACAGAATGCAAGAGGTAGAGAGAATGTTTTAAGTCATCTAGACTTTTGCTCTTACAAAAGAGATAAGTAAGGTTACATAACTTCCCCAAAGTTATTAAATTAGTAAATAGCAGAAATAGGAATAGAAGGAATATCTCCACAATCATAGACTTATTCTGAATCTGCTATCAGTAAAAGAGCCAGGAAAAAGGCAAGCTGCTTGGCAAAAATTACTGCAAATGTGTGATTTGCTTTATTTTGCCAGTGAGGATACCACTGCCATCCTCATCACCATCTTCATCACCATCCTCAACACCATCCCCTTCCATATTACACTGTCCCCTCTACAGTGACTCGTGTTTGCCCACAATGAACAGATTTAATCCAGATCAATTTCCCCCTTTTCTCTCCTCTTCCCCACCAAATAAATAATCTGTAACCAGGGTGGAAGGTATTTGCGAAGAGACATAACCCAGCATGTTTTATTTAACACACTCATAAGCTTACCCATCAAAAAACAACGTTCTAACCTGAATGTCATAGATAGTGAAGGGAGACAGGTCTTGCAGAAGGAAAGATCCGGGCACATTTATTCCAGTCTTGTGCAGCTTATTATTTACATAGACAGAATATTCAGTGACAACACCATTTGGGTTTGAAGGAGCTGTCCAGATGACACGTACAGCTGTACTGTTGATGATGACAACCTCTGGAGGGAGCATGCCCTGAGGCTCTAGAATTAAAGGAAGAAACTGAATAAACTCCAGCTGTCTCTGAAAAAGCACTTGTTAAACTAAATGCCGATTAGTATTTAGGTTTAGCGAGAAGGGTTTGTTGCTTATCTGCTCTCCTCTGATGAAGTTATCACAGTCTGCAGTCCTCTGCAAATTGGCTTATTATACTCTCAGTTAGAAACCGTAAGAATTGGTGGTAAAGGCTTTCTACCACCAGCATAGTGCTGATCTTCAATACTATGTGACCAGTGGGATATGATGATAAATTATTCACCCATCTGCACCACTAACACTTATCTATTATTTGTCTCTTTTCCCATCCCTTCACTCCATACCTCCCAGGGTAGGGTGGGGAAAAAAAAGGAAAAGAAAATTTGCTCCTTAAGCAAAAAATATAACTCAGATACACTGAGGCTGGTGGAACGTGAAAAATCATTTGATGTTACTAGCTTGTAACTCAAGCGATATGAAGCAATAATGCAATATTGTCATTATGTAAATGATTTTGAATGTTGATTACCATAGGTAATGATGAAGTCTAACATTAGAAAAAAACTCTTGCTTGGCGTTAAATTACACAATTATTCAAGCATGTCAGAAATAACTATGCAAAGACCTATTTTTATCAGAAGAACCCATCTTAACTAGTTGAAAAATTGTCCTTGTGATCCATTCTATTTTATAAACAAAAGGTGTCGACCTTTGGCACTGCAAAGGGAAATGGGTTCCATACTTAAAGTGCTCTGCTAATGACCTGGAACGCTTGCTTGGGAGGTAATGATATTATAATGTTTATAATGAGACTTTATAAAGCCAAAAAGATTAGAAAAACCATTCCAAACACATTTCAGATTCACAAGTTGCTTCCGTTGCTTCCTCCCCCTTGCTAACTGGCTTAGAAATGACTCATAGGCAATTTTTCTCAGTGGCTGAACTTCCACCTACTATTTCTGGTGACTCAGGGAGGGACCTCACTGTGCTTGGCTGTCGTTTTGAAAAGCACACTGCTTCTGAGAGCAATTCTTAAAAAAAAAAAAAAAGAAAGAAAGAAAAGAACTGTTTCTAAATGTCACCATTTATTGATGTGAACTCAGCTCCAAACTAAGGATACACTGAAACGAACGGGAACAAACTGGGCTAACACCCCATTATTGGAGCCTTGTGCAGCTGTCTCCATGGGACCACTTATTGATCTGCCACTTGACGACAGCCAGCACTTAAGCATTTTAGCTCCGACCCCCTTCCCTCCAACACCGGAAATTTTATAATGGAAGGATGACTGATCTCAACCTCAGCGAGAATCAATCAATTTCATTCGCATCTCTGAAGCTGAGAGTATCCCTTGAAATCTGGACTCACCCCCATCGCAAGTGGTCACACGCAGGACTTCACTGCTTATGCTGTGGACGCCGTTGAAAACAGAGAGAAAAATCCGATACTCGGTGTTTGGATTTAAATGGCCAATGACATGAGAGTTTACATCTGGGAGGATTTTTAGAGATTCATTTGAGGTAGCTGAACTCCAAAAAAGTGTATAATATTCAACATCACCTTGTAGGTCTTGAAAAGCTGTTAACAATAAACACAGGACACTGTAAATGTAGCTGATGTAAGAGTCTCAGGAGGAAAAGACAGAGAATCAACTCTATCGTTAGCGATCCCTAGAATGAAAAACAGAAAAGCTTATGTAACTTACCTTATAGTGGCGCTGGGTTTTATTTATTTATTTTTAACAGATTTCCTCCCTAGCCTCCCTTCCCATAATTAACTGCATGGAGTCCTAACTTCATAGGAAAATAAACTTTAAAAATGCCCTTAAATATTTTAATTATGCTGCTTATACTTATTCAACTAATCTTCAAAACTTTGACATAACACTTACGAAAGGAAACTGAGAGTAAAATAAAGATATGCAGTATGTGGAACAACTTCTGTTCATTAGTAAAATAATCCCAGAGAGAAATCGAGGCTAACACAGATAAGGGCATATCCTGACACAGATCCTAAAAGTCAAGGCATTTTTTTTAACGTGCTAACAAAATCTTCAAAATGATACCTAGAAGAATGTTTAGACAGATATCCTATTATGTGCACTGCTGACGTAGCAGAGCGATACAGGATCTCCCTCAGGATTCCCTCAGTAGGATCCTAGGATGATATCTGAATTTTGATCAAGGCTCTCATCCTTTTCTCCTAGTTCACTGTGTCTCCATAATGTGGATAAGGTCATAAAGGATGCTAAAATCAATCACTTACTGTCTCACAAATGTAACTCATCAATTCCTCAAACCTCATCCTTTCAAAGACCAGTGTTTTGTTTTCTTTTTCCTCTTCCACCCAAAGTCTACATTCTTGCACTAAGTTCTGCTTCTTACAATCCTCCTACAATGACGCTTTAAAAGGAAGGCATAAAACTGCCATATTTTCTTAGTAGGAAGTGGTCTACTGCTCTGCTTACACTAGTATGAGTTTTGAGACCTTAAGTAGGATCTATTACCTTGATTTGTGTTAGGGTTAGGGGGGAGGTGGAGCTTTGGTTTACAAGTCTCCTGAAATTGTATGTACAAGCTTGTGTTAGAACAGTTCAACAGCACTAAGCAAGGACTGGGAGGAAAAGGGGGCACTTGTCTTAGTGGTTATTGCAGTACAGTGTCTCTACAATGCAAAGTCCTAGCACGTGGTCCTGTAAAAGAATATGACTTTGGGAACTGTATGACTTTCTTTTAAGAACCCCTGTTCATTAAGATCTTGGGGATCTTACAAAAAAACTGAATGGTGGTCTGATTTTCGGTATTTTGGGTTTCCTGAACACGCTATTGCTTTGATCTAACATCCAGCAACAGTTAACGGTTTATATGCCAGCATAATTGAAATAGTTCACAGTAAGAGATCTTTAGCAAAGTACTTTGGAAAACTTTGGGGATTGAAATGTTTCTTTTCTCTGACGTCACAAAATGCAAGCGCCTTTAGCCATGAGGTCATTGTTATGCATTCTCAGGAACTGGTTGTCCATGTCCTTCAGGATTTTCCCAAATGACAGCATCAGTCAAGTACAGCAAAGTCACTTGTTCTGTGAGAGCAAAAGTTCCCTCTGTGATTAGAATTATTTCTGCTGCCTTAGGGTACTACTACTCACTGATTTGAGGCAGCTAAGATATAACAGAAAGTGCACTTGGTTTGAAGTTCACATTGTATTTTAGGTTGTTAAGTGAGCAGGCTGGTTAGAAATTCAAGCCCTAAATATATACTAATAAAGTGCTTTCAAATTCTACTTACAAATATAAGTGGATTTTACTGGGGTTATGAAATGCACCTGCTATCTCTTCTATCAAGTTCCAATTAAAGGGCCTGTGTATATACATTGAAAATATTGGGACTAGCGTCACAAGTTCAAGATGAGCATAGATTATATGCCAATTATCTGGATGAAATTCCATTAAGTGCCCATTCTTAGCCATGCACCATGTGTCACCCCCTCTGAAATAGAAGAGAATCTACTGCCCCAAAGAAGAAAGGAAAGATGGTGATTCAGGCGCACTGGTTATGTCTTATTCCACGAGACAGAGGCTCTTCTAACTGGAATCAGACAGCATCTCTGGGCAAAGACTGCTAGATTTCTGCACGGCCCTGCTTCTCGCTGACACCTGCGTCAATAATTCTCTTTCTTCTTCACTGACATTACAGTGCAGAGTCCAAAACTCAGAAAAACAGTAGAAACACCTTTTATCTTCATACTCCTAGTCATCTTATGAGGCGGCCTAGGAGCAGGACAGGCATAGGAGGATGCTTTTCTGGTGTTCAAACAAAGATTTCAAACTTCAGTGAGCTCTTGCTAAGTCAGTGAGCCATCTAAGAGGCCTAAGAAGACACTCTCTCAGTTCCACAGGCCAGCACAAATTAGAGGTCACTGACCTTGAGCTGACCTTTGAGAGAGGAATGCCATTAGAACTGAAATAGCTGGTATGAGGTGCCAAGCAAATCCCTGTGTATCGGCAAAAGCTGGGCCTGAGTATATTCTTATTTTTTAAAAGAGAAAAACATAAGTTACCAGGCTTCTTTATAGCATGAGATAAGGGAAACATTGTCTAGAGCCTTCAAGAGCAGAACTTCTTTCTCCGTGTACTACTTCTATGCGAATCAGATGGAAGTTTTAAAAACATTTGCCTGGTGTTCTTAAAAATAACAACAGGGACGTGACTGTGAAAAACATGCCTCTGTGAAACAGGTGCCTTTAATCGTGGAAAGACAGACAAGAAGACAGAGATGTTAAATGATCTTCTTAAATCATCAAAAAAAAGCAAAAAACCACAAAAAGCAATGGCAGAACTAAAATCTACATGGAAAGCAGAAAAGGGGGCAGAGTTAGAAATACACAGTAGGAAAGAATAAAGAGGAAAAATGACTAAGAAGAAATCCATGAAGGTCAAAATTACAGATACTGAGGATAGAGAATAAGAAAATCTAAGTAACTCAAAAAATAAATGGAATAAATAATCATGGATATAACATATCCTATAAAACCTGACCCAAAATGGAGGTTTATGTGTATAGATTGAATAGGTTAATAAACACAGTTTTGGCCAAACACTGGCAATATATTCAAACACAGACATACCTTGGAAGCTTATGGCATTTTGAAGGTAAACTGAAAATTAAAAGATCACCAACAAAGGAGAAAAAAATATCAGGAAAGTTTCAGACTTCTCATCTGTATCATCAAAATTTAGAAGACAATGGAAAAATTTCAAGATATTTTGAGAGAAAATATTTTGACCCAAGAATTTCATACACACCTAAGTCATTATTTATGTGCAAATACAACAGAAAGATTTTCTTACACAGGTAAGAAATTAAGAGAATGTGCAAAGACAACAGAAACATATTCTTATTTAGGCAAAAATGAAGAGAATATATAGCTCATTAATTTAATTAATTATAAAAATTTTCCAAAAATGTTATCTAAAAGACAAAAAGGATGAATCAAGATTCAGAACTTAAGACTGGGGAAGTTAAGAAGTTGATGATAAATATTGAAATGACTTAGAGATATTAATTTATGTAAAAATGATTATATAATCATCTATAAACCAAACATTGCAAGTGTCAGGTGAGAAAAAGGTGAGATAAATTCTTTATCATACATAAAATAGAAAGACACAGAAAAACAGAGAAAGATATCACTAACCACTAACAGCATTAATAGACTAAATAGCAATTGAACTTCAAAAATCACCAGAGAAGAGAAAACTTATGGTGAAGGTTCCTAGTACTCACCAACACTATGGTGCTTCTCGTCAAATAGGTGGACTACATTTTCTGGGCTCCCTGCACCTGGGTGAGGTCACGTGACCAGTTTGTGCCACTTCTGGACTGCGGTATTAAGAACCAATGGGCCATCTCTAATTGTCTCTAGTTTTCCCAGCGAGAGAAGGACTTTAAGGCCCTAGGGAATGTGGATGTTCTGGATGGAAAGGTCCTTATATGGCCCAGGAGAGTTTAGAAAGCGAAGGAAAAATTACAAATAAATCTCAGAGTTTTGGTTTGGGTTTCTGTGTGAATCCTACGAAAGAAGTCAGAAAACATAGGAGTAATTACGGGATGAAGAATTTCCAGTGTGTTGTTTCACTTGAGACTTCTTGTGTTTGAAGTGTTTCTGTGGCAATCAGGTTTACTTTGCAATTAAAGTGTGAATATCTGAGTGAGAGTCATATGTATAATTTGGAGTTAAGGTATAAATACCAGATTGTGTTTGAAGCAACAGAATGAAATGAGGATTATCCTAGGAGGTGATGTTAAATATGCATACACTGGAGAATATTTTATCAGATATTCTAATCCTGTTCTGGGCAACCTATACTTTATAAACCACAGAAATTTATAAGTAGGTATCGCTCTCACTGTAGCTTATCAGGTCAACCTCAGTGAGTTAAAGAAGGTTACTGGCTCTGGATGCAGTCTTTGCTATTAAGTGCCATTTTCAGTGGTGATCTCCATGGGTAGGTCAGAAATGGGGCCTTAGCTGTAGCAAATTCTCAAATCTAGAACAAGCCCCTCTCTCTTACAATGGACTTCCAAATAATTTAAAACAGTTGCTAGATGGGCTAGTTGGAAAGTCCTCTTGCAAAAGCAATTAGATTATGCTCTGTACATGCTGTTGGATTATTTTTAGAGATTGTTGTCAATATCAGTCATGTCCTCTAGACTTTTACCTTCTAGATCAGAGGTCAGAAAGCTACAGCCCAGGAGTGAAATCTGTCCTGCCGGCCACCTCTTTGCATACAACCTGTGAGCTAAGAATAGTTTTTACACTTTAAAATTGTTAGAAAAAAGCCAAAGGAAGAATCATGTTTTGTGACACATGAAAATTATATGACAATCAAATCTCAGTGTCCATAATAAATTTTTATTGGAACACAGCCATGCTTGCTTAAGAGTTGTCTATTGCTGTTTTCATGCTACGATGGAAAAGCTGAGTCATTACAACAAAGACTATATATTGCCTGCAAAATCTAAAATGTTTACTATCTGGCTCTTTGCAAAAAAGTTTGTGGCTCTGATCTGGAGCAATT